GTTTGGACAATTCGCAACTATTTAAAATTGACACTTATGAGATTTTTACTGATTCTGTTCAAGTAGTAAACTATATTCGATTTCAAAGAATGAAGTATAATCTTATTTCTGAGAAAGGTCTTTGATCCTTTTTTTTGAGATATGAAAAGAGATTAAAATTGACCGTTAAAATAAAATTTCAGTGTCGTTATATGTTTGAAAAGTTATAAGAATGGGAAAGAGAGTAAATTTTGTAATCATTGCTTTCGCGATAACAATAGAGGTATAGTAGACACTACATTGATATCGCGAGACTCAGAAAACTAAAAATAATTTTGCGCTCTGACATTTAACTTAAAATAAGTAATTTACTTTAGCAAAAAAAAAAAAAGAATTTATTTCTCGAAATATTTTATTTTTACTTTTTATGTGGGAATTATCTTTATAAAGTCATCCATTTTGCCAAATTGGAATCACAATTTTTTATATGGTCACAACATTCATTTTTATTTAGTTGACAAAATAAATTAAATTATCATTAAATTTGATTTGTTAAATTTAATAATTAATAAATAATTTTAACATTATTGAATTATTTTAACACTTAATTTAATTATTTTCTTTCCTTGATAGTTTCAAAAAGAATAAATTAAGTATCTATGTGGATGCCACTTTTTTTTATTTGTGCTTAAGTTATTTTTCATAGTTAAATAAAAAAAATATTCATTCTAGTAGAAAACTACTAATTCAGATTTAGAGAGTAGTTAATTAAAATTTTCAACAGTTTTCAAAAAAAGTAAAAAAAAAAAATTGTAAAATTACGTTTTTTATTTTTCAATGCAGAGTGAAATTCAATTAGAAAGTATTGAAACTCTATTTATTGTCAGATGTCAGAGTACTCTAATTAAACATTGTTAGCGTGATGTACCTCAATACTGTTGTCACAATATATAATAGTGTTTGCTAAGCTCCACTGACTTGAAAAGTTTTACAATTGTTAACATTAATGTTCAGTGGATGTCGATATGGAATTTATTATAACTTTGAAATTTTTACTTGTTCCAAGTGAATTTTTTTCCCTGTATAATTTATAATTATTTTTTAATTCATAATTATTTATAATTCATAATTATTTGTAATTCGTAATTATTTATAATTTATAATTGTTTGTAATTACTTATAATTCATAATGATTTATAATTTATAATTCATAATTATTCATAATTTATAATTATTATATATTAATATTCCAATTATTTCCGAACATATAATTTCTTTGGACTTTAAAAATAAAAAACTGAATTCATAAATAGTAATTATTAAACATTTTTTTTTCTCAATTTCCATATTTAAGATTGTGTCAAAAATTTGTGCGGAATATTTTTTGCTTTTATGTAGAAAAAGTAAAGAGAGGGGACATTCACTCAATGTTCTGTCGTACATAATATAATGATTGTTGTAGGTGTATATATATAGAAATGTGCGCAATTAGTTATTGTGCAATAATTATACTCTTTGACATCATATCGCTTTTTCGTACAATTACCTTAGGAAGATGGAATATTTACTTTGCCTATTTTTACAAATAATTAAAATCATTGTATTTTACTTCCGTTTCTTATCAGAATCAAGTGCCTAAGTTTATGAATAATTGGAAATTTTGGTTTTCAAAAATTTTTAAATGCTTTTTCATTGAAGATATAAAAGTGTGTATTCATTTGAAATAACTGATTGCTCTTGTTGTAAGTGTATAAAACTTAGATGTTAGATTAAAGTTAGATTTTACTATTACACTCAAGAATTAGTTGTGTTTTAAATTAATCATTGCATTAAATTAACGAATTTGATTAGGTAGTAAATTTTTTGTCCAAAAAAGTTTTTTTTCAATTAAATGAAAGGTTGAGTTGACCAAATGGTTTAGATAACTAATTATATTTGGCTTGGCCTGTCGTATCTGCGGTTAAGTTTGGCAATTGTTTGATTTGGTCACGATTTGGTTAACCAATTGTTTGATTTTCTTCAATAAAGTCTACAGTTTAGTTAAGCAAATGGTTCAGTTAACCAATTATTTTGTTTTGAAATGAAATTTACAGATTGTTAAGCAAATCAATTGATTAGTTAATTATTTGGTTTTCTTAACTGAATCTACAATTAAATTCACCGCAAATAGTTTAGTTATCCAATTATTTTATTTAGTTAATTAATTATTTCGTTTTGTCGCAATGAAATCTACAGTTCAGTAGAACAAATGGTTAAATTATCCAATAATTTGATTTAGTTAACTAATTATTTGGTTATTTTTAGAGACTAGTTCTTTTCAATAAAGTCAATGGTTAATAAAATCAAAAAATTATTTAAATAAAAATTTAATAAAATTCTACACAAACTTTTAATTATTTTCAAAAAATAATAAAAATTTCACAGGAATTTCATTATTTACAAATTTTTTTATAAATTTCTTCGCAGTCATTCAATTATTTTCATAAATAATAAAATTTTTACGGGGATACAATTATTTTCATAAATTATAAAACTCATTGTAGAATTTCAATTATTTTTATTAAAATTTCAATCGAATTCCTCAAAAATGTAATTATTCTTGAAAATTTTATTAAAATTCGTTGAAAGAATTCTGTTATTTAAAAATTTATAGATAAAATTCTTTATGAGAATCCAATTTAAAGAAACTTGCAATTATTCAATAAATTGATATTTTTGTATTTAAATAATTGAATTCTAGTAGAATTTTCTCATAAACATTGATTTAAAAATGGATTTCAGTTAAAATTTTAGATTTTAATTGAATTTTAAAAGCATTAGACAGTAAATTTTTAGAAATAATTCAATTTTGCAAAGGTTTTAGATTACAATTTTTGAAAATTTGAATTTTTCATATTTTTAACTAACAATTCTGTGGAATTAATATTTTTTGAGAAACTTTAATTGCGGATTTTTTTTTAAATTATATAAAAATTTTATTTTCTAATAATAAATTAAATTGCAAACTTTACGAATAATTGAAATTTTGTAAAATTTTATTGTAAACAAATAAATTTGAAAATTTTTAAAGAACCGATTTTACCGATTCTTTATGGGAATTGAATTCAATTATTCAATAAATTATTTATTTTTGTATTTAAATAATTGAATTCTAGTAGAATTTTCTAATAAAAATTGATTTTCATTTCAGAACAATTAATTTTAGTTAAAATTTTAGATAATAATCGAATATTAAAAGCAATATAGCTTAAATTTTTAAAATTAATTGAATTTTGAAATTAATTTGTTTGTAAAAGTTTAATTGAATTTGTTTAATATTATTTGAAGTTTTTATTTTCTAATATTTATTTACATAATTGAAGAATTTACGAATAAGTGAAATTTCATAAAACTGAATATTGCAAACAAATTGATTTGAAAATTGTCAAATAACTATTTCGAAAATTATTAAAAATAATCGATTTAAAGAAGAATTTTAGTTAAAAATTCTTGTAAATAATAATTGAATTGTAAATGATTTTATCACTCGGTCATCTTTAATTATTATAAAACATGAAGAAATCGATCACTCCGAGTCGAAGACTCGGAGTTATCAATATCTTCATGTTTTATAGGTATGAAAAAAAAATTTGTAGTTTTAAGTAAAATGTTCTTTTATTTGACTCGGACTGGTTATATTTTTGTCAGTAATTGGTCCGTAATTTTTCATTTTTGGTCCGTAATGTCCGTATTTGTAAATACTTTTACTGGTTCGAGCCCTGCATTTGATTTTTTTCTATAAAATCTGTAGTTGAATTAAGCAAGTCGTTAAGGTAACCAATTGTTGCATTGTGTTAATTAATTGTTTTGAAAATAGAATCTACAATTGAGTCAATAAATTCTTTGGTCATTTTTGGATGAATTGGAGTTATTTAACGAATTATTAGGTTTTGTTCAATGAAATATTTGTTTGATTTTACCAAATGTTTTGGGTAACTAATTATTTTGTTTTGTCAAATATCCTTTTTAGATAACTCTAGATTTTCTCCAATTGAGTTAAGCAAAGTTATTAATTAACCAGTTTTTTGGTTCAACTCAAGAAAAGAGCAGTTAAGCAAAAAGTAGTTTAGTCCACCAAATTTTCGGTTAAGTTAATCAAATTCTTGATGTAGTGCTGTAATTACAAATTTACCTACTTTAGAACCAAATTTACTTTAATTAGAAAAATTGTTAACAACTAGAGCAAAAAGTTTATTTCAACAACGAAATATTTGGTACTTATAAAAATCAGTACTTTTCTTCAAAAATGAAACATTTTCGTGAGATTAATATCTGGATGAATAAAATAACCGAACGCTTAATATTGATTTCCTCTTTTTTTGGAGTTCACTTCCCATTTAAGTAGCTATAGGGACCTCAATAACCATAATAGGCACACGATTTGTATTGCCAAAAGGGAAATTTTAAAGAATGATCATCGAAAATCTGGGTGGAGTCTGTGTTATTCAAGGTTAAGGGGTGTGTGACACTAAGGTGAATAAAAGCCGGGTTTAAAAGCAACCGATGCCCTCGTGACTCGTGCACGAGTATAAGGAATCGATTCAAGCACCTGGTTTGTGTATTTCTCTCTTTCTCTTTCTCATATCCAACTGGGAGACCGGCAAAACTGCGTGACGTATACAGTAATTGAACATATTTTATCAACTCATTTATTCTCTTTGCGGAAAGAAAAAAAGGAAGAAGAAGAAAAAGAAGAAACGACAACACACGTTCGATAGTGGCTTCAAACATTACGTAAAAGTACACGTAACTTTGTTTGAAACATTGATATTCCCACTCTCTTCATTTTCCCTCATACGTCGATACTTGACTATTCTTTTTAATCTAGCGCCTCATGGCTCGCGCAAAAGCGCACACGAGGCATGCTCAATTGTCATCATTCAAAAAAAAAAAACAATTGTCATTTAATTATTCTCCCACTTTTGTCCTAATTACTCCGAAATTTTCCAAAGTAAAAAATTGAAAATTTTTCATTTTCTCACCTCCGGTTTAATTAAATCACTTGTATTTACTGTTGGTGACATCTTCATTGTTGAATAAATTTTCTTTTTTTGTTTACAGTAGAGGAAAAATAGTAGTTCACTTTTTGTTTAGTTAGAGCACTTATTTATTTTTCACTTTTGTAACTTGGACACTTTTTGGGAGAGAGAGAAAATGTTTGGTACGTGTGTTGGAAAATCGTCTCTATGAAACTTGGCGTCTCTATGCGCTGTTGCGTGCGTACCAATCCAGTTTTATATTGAGACTAAAGTTGAAGGCGCCTTCTCCACGCGCACCTCCATGACATGGAATTGGAGAGCTGGTGGGGTGCATACTTCCAAGTCGGGGGTAGCTAAATGGTGGAGGAAAGTGGAGGTGGAGTGTGTGGACTGGAAAGTATGGGTAGTTCCCTCTTCCATCAAGGTTGTTTGGCTTCCTCTTGGCTCTGTGTCCCTCTCCATTCCCCGCCAATCCCCTTTCCCTCTCAGCGTACTCGCTGATTTCCACGTTTTATCGGTGAATGCGCTACAACCAGGAGAAGGAGGCTCGCCTGTCGTCCCAAGGGCAACGAGGTCACGTGGCATTCCTGCATCTCTCCAAAAGTTTTCTTGCCCGATAATCATTGCACCATTCTGCCAAAATCTTTCGTCTGTCTGCGAAATTCCTCGGGAGATTTTTTGGAATAGTGTATATATATATATATTTTGGTAAAAAAAATGATTGTCTTGTAAAGAAAGACAGACAGGTCTTGATTTAAAGAACCATAAAAGCCACTAAGAACCATTTAAATCTTTGTTTAAGACCTGATTTAGATTGCAATATTTTTGGAAGTCGAATATCTTTAGTTTTTAGAATAGTTTTTTGTATTTTTAAGCATTTCTTCTCCTGAATTTACCCTAAGATGATTCACGTAGGTTTTTTTAATTTTTTTAGTTAGTCCACATGCCACCAGGACACTTGCCGGATCGTCCTGGTAGCATGTGGACTAACTAAAAAATTTCAATAGTAAGAAAGGACCAAGATATGTCCATCCTTTTCTTACTAAAGGGATTTTTTAGTTCATCCACATGCCACCATTACTCTTAAATAAAAGTAAATTAGAAATTGAAATCCGTTTGTATTAATTGACAAACTCTCTAAACTTGATAAAATATAATTATAAAATTGCGAATTTTGACGAACAGCTTGAGATTCAATATGGAGGTGCTACTCTCCACTTGAGAACGCCAAGGTCACCGCCAGATGGCAGCTCAGTCCTTTCTTGAAATGTTTACTGCCATCTGGTGGTGACCTTGGCGTTCTCAAGTGGAGGAATTAAACCACCATTTTATCCCTCGAAAACTTTTTTTATAATTAATATTTGTAGAAAATTTTTTTGTGAGAATAAGTAAAATTGTGTTAGTGCACATTTATAACGCTTTTTATTCAAAAGTTCAAAAACACAAGTATTTGTAAATAAATCATGTGCAACTATTTGCAATTATTACGAATATTTTATGCTACTTTTGATACTGTTTTTGATTTTTAAATTCAGTTGGAAGCTTGTTTTTACTATTTGTCTCTTAGGGATTTTGTTTAAGTTTCTGTATCAGAGTTTTTTTAGGATATCAAATTCAGACAAAAAAACGTATCAAAAAGTTGAATTGTAACAATTTTGTTACGTTTTTCTTCTCAATTTTATATCCCTGGAAGAATTGTGATGAAAATTTACTCCGAAAATAACAAAAATTAACACAAATGATCAAAAAGTTTAATTATGATTTTTAACACTGGGTAATTGTATCTAAAATATTTTTATTCTACTTTCTTTCAAAGATAATTGAATTTTTATGAACAAGTAATTGAAATTTCCTAAAATCCTATATGTATTGAAAGTAATTTTATTTTTTGAAACAATTTTCTTGAAAAATAATCGAGAGAAGTTAGCTACAGTACCTAAGTAATTATATTTTCAAAATAGATGGAAACCCTTAAAGTTTTAAATTAAATTCTTGCTTCTAAAAATTATCCTTTTTCATAATTGAACTACATACATACTTCTAATTTTTTTTTATAGAGTTTAGGGAAAAGTTAAAATTCTGTCTGGAAATAAGAGAAAAGTCAGAATAAGAGAAAATTAAATTTTTGTGGCAATCCTAAAACTGCATTTCGAACGTATAGCAAAATTTACTCAGAAAATGGTAAAAGTTGACTCAAAATGCGCAAAAATTCCAGACAGGATATTTACTACCTTATGAATAAGTTATTCTATATTTTTTTCTCTGCAAAAATTTTCAATGCGACAATATTAAAATTTTCTCTTTCTTAAAACTCTTTCGAATCGAAAGATTTTTGACTTTCAATTTTGAAATTCAGGGCATATTTGTATATACATATAGAAGTAAAGTTCATGCAGGATTTCTTTATTTATTGGAAGAAAAGAGCACGAGTAAGTGCTCCAATTTTAGGTCACTTCGAATCTGGTATTCATCCGAAACCACTCTATAAATAGCTCAAACAACATATCCCATTGCTAGATTTGTAGGATGTGAGTATATATCTCAATATTTGGTATAAACTAGATTTGAATTTTTCGTTGAATATATTCACTAATTTGCATTTTTTTGCTGCACATGTCTTTTTTAGAAGAAATAATTATTTTAAAAATGACCCTTGGCGCATTATTGATCCTATGGCTTTATTTTTATGACATAAGCACTGTATACAGTTCAAGTTTATTCGTTCATTACTATTTTGAAAGCGATCCAATACTAATTATATATACTTTAAAGACTTCAAAAACAGTCGTGTGTGACCTATAATATGTATAACAAGTTTTTTTTCTTCTTTTGAGATAAGGATGATTTTTTGGGAAAAGTTAATATTTTGTTTGGATATTTTTGAATCGATTTTTTAAGACTTTTTTGAAAATTTTTTACTCGGTTTTCTGAGATATTTGGGTATTTTTGATTCAGTTTCTTAAGACGTCTGCATGTTTCTATTGATTCAATTTTTAAGACGTTCGAATATTTTTGATTCGGTTTTTTAAGACGTTTGAATATTTTTAATTCAGTTTCTTGAGACGTCTGCATATTCTTGATTCAATCTTTTAAGATGTGTAAATATTTTTAATTCGAGTTCTTGAGACGTTTAAATATTTTTGATTCAATTTTTCAAGACGTTTGAATATTTACGTGTTTGATGTATTTGTGGACGAAAAATTAGATGAAGATAATTCTTTGATGTTCTGTTACATTTATGATGTTGCATCACTCACAGAAATCAAGAATATTCATACTGTATAACTTAAATCATCTTTCATTTCAATTTGAATTTAATTTTTTAATTCGAATCCTTATACAGTTTTTCAAGCATGCAACATATACAGCATCGCATATTTGTCCTTTATATTTAACACAAAAGTACACAGACCGCTTATCTACAGATTACTTTAGATACCTTAAGTTCAGAACATAATGATAGAGATTATAATTTATTTGAATTCTTGTAAAGTACAAATTTTACAATATTATAGTGTGCAAATTTTGGATCATGCAACTTTCACAGTGTATTGTTCTACTTAGAAAGTGTTTGCAGTTTGCATCATCCTATGGGATATATGATGAAATTCGCGAGTTCGTGGGAAGCAGAATTCCCACCCTCAATATTTTCATCCCTCCAACCTTGATGGTGATAAGGCAGGTTCACCGTGTGCGCCTTTATACCCCACCAGGAAACAACCATGACGACATAGAGTTGTTCAGTTGAAGCAGAAATTCGCTATTTCGTATCCTTGCTACTGTTGCATCATAGATGAAGTAATTATACGGAATAATTGAATAGTGGGTCTAAAACTATACACTACATTAATTTTCTGATAAATTTCACGGTGAATTGAGATTAAAAAATTAAAATTAAAATGTTCTTCTGAATCTTATGATGAAATAAGATTAAAAAATTAAAGATGTTAAATTAAAGTTGTTCTTCTGAAGCTTAAGATAAATCTTAACATAAATCTCATGACTATGGAAGATAATCTATCTTACAGTCTGTTATCATCATCGTGATCATATTATTGGTATTTATTATGACTCAAATAACTACGTCTGGCTGAATGAATACGGTTTATCAAAAATTTATGATTTTAAGAAAGATCTTTAGCTTCTTCAGAAAGATTGCTCCTTAAGATGACATCTTCAGTAGACATGTGTCCTTTAAGAGGCAGTCTCAAGTTAAATACGTGTTAAGAGGCACATCTTGAGATATTTACAGGAAAAGATTCTATTTTCTTGTCTAAAAGTTCTCTGAATTCGTCGACCACTTTTTACAGTCGATTTCTGGTTTTAGAGATTAATTTCCGAACTTTTAGAAATAAGAGAAACATTTTCATATGTTTGGTTGTATTTTAACTTTTAATATCTAAAATAATTCTCCTTTTGTTCTTGATATTGGAAGTAATTGATATCAGTTTTGTTATTAAACATCACTTTTCGTGGAAGGTTAAAAATTTATGAATGTGAACGTCATTAATAAAGTGTGCTTGATCGGAAAGGGTAAAAAAAATGTGTCTGATAAGAATCGATTATTTAGTGATTGTTGCGTCAACATTCTATTAAGGTCAGTGAGATTAGCAAGAGTGTTGTTGGAAATTATAAATAAAAAAAAAATTAATAAAATGAGTTTGAAAAAAAAATTGCGCTCATGTCGCGAGAAAGCATTTTCTAAGAGTGACGTAACGAATCGAACTTTGTACACCAGCGAGAAGGTATACGAGGGTACATTCTCATTGGCTGTTTTCTGGGGGCTCGAACGGTCGATCCCTCCTCTGACGTCATTTCGCTTCCCAACTCCCGTACGTCCTTGCTTGCATATTATATAGCATAGCATACGAGAGAGCCTTTCAACGGTTCTCTTTCTGATCCTTTCTAGAACTTTCCAGAAAATATTATCAATAATTGGCTTTCTTTCTGAAATAATTAGTTTTTTTCTAAAAATATAGTATTGCAGCTGTACAATTTAAATTTTTATTGTGCTGATTAAGCAAATAATGAAAAAGTCCTGGTATTTTTAGTTTAACTGGAACTGCTGCAAATTTTACTGTATTAGTGAAATTTTCAGTTGGGACTTGCGGTATTCTAGAGAAACTTATCGCTGCTTTAGTTAAAGCTACTTTTTCTCTATACAGTATAATTATTGTTGCAGAAAATTATCATTTGACAGAAAATATCTTTACATTGAAATGTTTTGGCATTAATTATCCTTTTGTTTTGCTCATATTAATTATTGTTACAT